ACTCGTATCCTTCCAAGTATGGCCGCATCTTTCTGATGCCCCACACAATTGCCAGACACTCCTTTTCGGTTGCGGAATAATTCCTCTCCGCTCCATTCAGAGATCGGCTCGCGTATGCAATGACCCGTTCACCGTCAACAAATTCTTGGGTCAGCACTGCCCCAAGACCAACATCACTGGCGTCGGTCTGCAACAGGAACGTTCGACCGAAATCTGGGCATGCCAATACTGGAGCTTGAGTCAACCTAGCTTTGAGTAGTTCGAACACAGTATGCTGTTCTTCCGTCCATCGCCAGTGTTTACCCTTTTTTAAGAGGGATGTCAATGGTTGAGTAAGTGTCGCGAACTCGGGCACAAAACGGCGGTACCAGGACGCCACGCCTATAAATCGTCTCAGCTCTTTGGGGTTCTGCGGCTGTTTCATTTCCATGATCGCGGCAACCTTGTCTGGATCAGTTCGGATGCCGTGCTCGGAGACAATGTGACCCAAGTATCTCGTCTCTTTCTGGAAAAACTGGCACTTGTCAGGGTTAATGCGAAGGTTGGCGGCTCGTAGTCTTCGGAACACCTCCAACAGATTGGCCAAGTGCTCGTCTAGATTTCTTCCGATCACAATTATGTCATCCAGGTATGCAAACGCAAAAGGCTCCAAGTCTGGTCCTATTACGCGATCTAAAGCCCGCTGGAAGGTCGCAGGAGCTGAATGCAGACCAAACGGCATTACCCGCCATTGAAATAATCCTCTTCCTGCAACCGTAAATGCAGTGTACTTCTTGCTGTCCTCCTCCAAAGGAATCTGCCAGTATCCGTCCTTAAGGTCAATACTACTGGTGTAGTTTGCCTCTCGAAGTCGGTCCAAAATCGACTGGATTCGAGGTAGGGGATAGGCGTCGGGGTCGGATTTGGCATTAAGGTGACGAAAATCCATACAGAGTCTCCAAGCTCCGTTTTTCTTTCGCGCAAGAGTAATTGGAGAACTGTAAGGACTATGTGATGGTTCAATAAATCCGTTCGCCAATAACTCACTGATTTTGGCATCGATCACTTCTTGCATAGCCGGGTTACGGGCCGCATAACGTAATTTAAATGGACGGTCGTCTGTCATGACTATACGGTGCGTTGCGGCCGTAGACGGTCCATGAATATCTCTGAATTTCTGTAGTTCCTGGTCTAGGAAGCTCTGGATCCGTTTTTGCTCCTCTATAGTCGGGGGCTTTGCCGGCACAGAAGCCTCTGGGACGTTCTGGCCGTCCAACGTCCTCTGACACCGTTGATCGGGTATTCCGCAATTACACGAAATGCTGGTGTTCAAATGCTGCTTTGACTCTGATGCTTCTCTAGTCGCTGTAAAAACGCAGGATAGCCCAGCTATCGTCAGGCGAGCCCCGATCTTTGCCAGAAGATCAAGCCCGATGATTAGGTCTTCCGTGGCATCTGGCATGATCAAGAGACGAGCGGGCACAAGTTGACAGCCTAATTCAATAGTTGTTTCGACAGCATGTTCCACATTTCGTTGGGATCCATCTGCCAAAGTCACCAGAGAAGAGCAAGGTATACGTTCGACTCTAAGTACCGCTGCAAGATATTCCTTAATGAACGACGTGGTGGCTCCTGTATCTACCGTGGCAGCGATTTTTCGTCCAGCGATCCCAACGGTGGCCACCAACCTGTTGGGTTCCATGTGGAGTGTCGTGTCTAATTGAGGGGCTCCTTTTCGAACTGCGGACCCGTCTCCCCTCTTTCCTGGCGAGTCCGGTGCCCATTTCCCGCTGCTCGTTTCCGACAGCACTCTATGGAACGGATACCTCTTCGTCCGCACTCCCAGCAGAATAAAATTCCCTCATTTCGACAGCCTGTGGCGAAATGACCGTCTTGTCCGCATCTCCGACACGCCGTTCGTGGATTGATCGGGGACTGGCGGGGTATGTTTGGTGGGCTGTCAGCGGGATCTAAACGCCGGTGTTGTTCCTTGGATGGTGTCATTAACGGTGGTAGACTCTCCAAGTCTTCGGCCATCGATATCAGTTCGTGCAGGCTCTGGAAGTCACGCCGCCGGATGTACCACAGGTATTCTGGCAGCGCGTTCTTGAAAATCCGCTCCAACTTTTGCTCCTCGGAGTAGTTGCTGTGTCTCATCATGTTCTGCATTCCGAGCGAGTAATCGCGAAATTTCTCCCTTGGACGCTGGCGCCGTTTCCGAATGTCGTCTTCCAAGCGCTCGAAATAGCGAGTTGGCAGGAAGAACCTCTGGAAATCCTCTCGAAAGTCTGCCCATGTCTGCCATTGACGGTTATTGTTTCTGAACCATACCAGTGCCTTACCCTTCACTATTTCTGGCATCATCTTGGGTAGAATATCAATATGTAGCGCGTACATTCCAGCTAACTCCTCCGCTCTTTCGAGAAATTCTAATGGGTCCTGCTCACCATCAAATCCCAAGTTCCACTTTCGCACTTGATCCGCCACCGCCCGGAAATCGATGTTGGTAGGAGCTCTGATTCGGCCAATCGGGGACGTTGGTCGTGTTGGGCTGTTACCCGGAACCGGAACTGTAACTCCACTGGGGCTCGTAATAGCCAAGCTTGGAGTTCTTTTCGGGGAAAGGCTGGCCTTGCTGTCTTTACTGGACGTATGTTGATCATGGTAGTCCTGGTACCGAAGTAACTTTTCCAACTCCTCTGGTTCATGTACCTCCCCCAAGAATTTGCCGAATCTCCTTCGAAGCTCGTCTACCGTTCCATTTACGTCGAGGCCAAATTCGGTGAGGTAGTTCCCCAGCTCTTCTTTACGTAGGCTGTACGCCCAGGTGGTCCGCAGCGTTGTTGACATACCTGTATGCCGATGGTGACCCCCTTTCTTGTTGGTACTGATTTTTTTCCTTACTCAGGTCCCTGCTCGGGCGCCACTGTAACGACTCAGATTCCTCCGTTTGCTGAGGTTAGCTCACGGTGGCCAGAGTTCGTCACAGAAATTTATTTCTGTCAGCGACGGGAGTAAGGAAAATACGACTCTTTATTAATATGGGATCACCCCGGTTTATTGTTCTTCAGTTCAATGTATTTACAACCGGGATATTACACAGAGTCCTTGGAGTGATCTCGAATATTCGTCCGGCTCCGAGATAAGAGGACTCCTAGCAGCTTCCCCGGTTTCTTATCCCAGTGGCTTCGGCAACTCACTGGACTTGACCCAGGTGTTCTTGAGCGGCTTTGACAACTCGCTCTTCCCTTTTCCTGGTGGCTTTAATAACTCACTCAGGTATATCTTTGTCCTGGGCTTCTTTCGCTTCGGCGGTCGCGTTTCCAAGATCTTTGGTTTCACTTTACTCACCTGAAGTTGCAAAAATAGGCTGCTTCGTTGATCTAGACTCCTGTTGGCCTAGTGACTCTCAATCGACTGTCCCCCCTGCAACTTTCTACTTTCCTTTTATAATCCGGTGTCAACAACTTGCCGACGTCCTTTAACTGCATACGCAGGCGCATTGTTGCTAGTTGTTTACAAGTTAGCCGCGCAATGCAGTCCCTACGACGTGCATTTTGTTGCTAGTTGTTTACATGTTAGCAACGCATTGCAGTCCCTGCAACGTGCGTTTTGTTGCTAGATGTTTACGCATCACAGTTCCAGAGACTTGCGTATTGTTGCTGGTTGTTTTCGAGCCAGTAACGCATTACCGATCCAACGACGTGCGTTTTGTTGGTAGTTGTTACAAACAAGCAGCGCATTGCAGTCCCTGTAACGTGCGTTTTGTTGCTACTTGTTTACGATTTAGCCACGACGTACGTTTTGTTGCTACTTGATTTGAAGTTAGTATCGACGTGCGTTTTGTTGCTACTTGTTTACAAGTTAGGATCGACGTGCGTTTTGTTGCTACTTGTTTACAAGTTATCATCGACGTGCGTTTTGTTGCTACTTGTTTACGATTTAGCAACGACGTACGCTTTGTTGCTACTTGTTTTCTTAAGTTAGGATCGACGTGCGTTTTGTTGCTACTTGTTTTTCTTATGTTAGGATCGACGTGCGTTTTGTTGCTACTTGTTTTTCCCCCGATAAGCGGTCAGTGGCAACAATCGAAAATAAAGGGAAATATAAGTTTTCTTCCAATTAATCCATAATTGCCATATATTTACTAAAAAAAGGATTCATAAAATATAAATAATTTCCGCTAATTACCGGAACTAGACACGTTTGTGTGACCGGAAACGAGCCTGCGACTTCCGCCATCACAGTACCCATTACGAAATCTAAATACGAAATTTAAACAACTTCGGTGAGTAATGTCCCTAAAATCGTTAAAATATCGAATATCGGGAAGACGTGCACCTGCACGGACAATTTTCTGTCTTAGGCTGTAGAATCCATTACGAATTTCAAACACCAAATTTGAAAAAAAAAATGGTGGGCAGTGTCGCCAAAAACATAAAAATACCGAATATAGGGAGGTACCGTCATATGGGGGCTATACGAAGACGTGGACCTGCAGATATAATTTTCTGTCACAGGCTGTAGTATCCATTAAGAACTTCAAATACCAAATTTGCAACAATTCCCATGAAACAATTCAAAGAAACTAGAAAAAAGCAACTCTGTGCTGGAGTCTTATACTGTCAAATAGTCTTTTAAATATGCAACAGTTGACTTTGTTTATATTTAATTTTTTAACAAAGTTCTTAGACACCAAAATAAGGGTGCAAGTACATAAAAGGCTTGAAGTTAAGGCTAGGCATATTAATGTCAAGTTATAATGGATAATGACGATAATCCCTTTATGAAATGTTACAAAATATGCCTAGCCATGTCTTCAAGCTTCTTATGTACTTGCAGCTTAAATATTAGGGGGTAGCTTTGATCTACCTCCAGTAATTATGCTATGATTATACCTACATGTACGACAATTACCAGAAATATTAGTACTTAGTATAATTTTTCCCCTAATGTCTTAAAAGTTTATAAATTGATTAAAAGCCTTCTCTAAATATTTTTTCTTTTATTAATTTTTTTAGGAACTTCTTACAACGGGTATATCGGGACTATTATATTTCATAAGTTTTGTGATACAGCTGGCCCAGTGGTCTGGCTATCCACACACGCCGGGACATACACGAAATATTGCAGCTGGTGTTTTTGGTTGTTTCAATTGTGTGGCCTATGGAGCGGGAGCGTTTCTCTTGTTCCAACAACACAGGAGTGGTTCGAGAATATAAAAAAATCGTAAACAATAAAAAAATACCAAAATCATACCAAAAATATCGAATAACTAACTGCACGTCTGTGTAAATTCCCATCGTTTGTTTAATACTAGGTTTTATCTTTATAAACTTTTTATTATATATATTATTGTTTTTTGTAATTAATATGCATATATAATTAAGCATCGGTTGTTATGAACCCTGGGTTATAATTACTAAAAGTCTATTTTAGCAATTGACCTAGTCCAGGACTCATACAGAGAGAAAGTTTCTAAGGACAAAGAGAATATAGAAGAAAATGTGTTATGTGTTCTCTCCCACATTCGTATTTTCTCATATCCCCACATTGTTTTCTGGAATTTTCCAGAATATTAAAATATGTAACATTGAACTTGTTAATCGTCATCATCGACACAGCTGTTGGGACAATGAACTGTCAAACCAATTTTGGAATTGAAAATGTTGAATGAAAAATTATTTAAATTTGTAAAAACGGTTAAAAAACGCGAATTAGAAAAACCTTCGAATGACGTCGTATGAGAAAATAGTAAAGACCTACTTATAATTAAAAAAACATTTAACATTTTTGACATATCAATATTCCCAAGCGTTGATGCATCTACCTGTATTCTTTTTCCATGGGTAGAATTAAGAAGGTAAAGTCATGCAATCATATGTTTACATGTTTTTTTTTCAAAATTATTCACTTGACAACATCTCATTGTCAAAATTTATATTTAAAAATCCACTGTGTGCACACTAATCAGATATGGGATCTAGTTTTCTATGTATTTGACAATGTAAGTTACAGAAAATGCAGAGATGCGTATGCTTATTTGAAATGACTTTACCTTCTTAATTTTACCATGAGATGTTCATTATAACCTCATTTAATTGTATGTTTATGTATATCGTATTGTCACTACTTATGGTATTATCTTCTTAGTCATAGACTTATATAATCTTAAATAACATAGTATTGTCATATGCTAATGGTTAGTATAGCTGTATTAACAGATTTTTGTCTGGAAGAAATAAAGGCTATAAATAATATAAGAAAAATAGGTTTACCATTGTATAAAGCCATCCAACTAATTCCCCCCTAAATAAATGATGCTTTAAATGTAGGAACCACACATTCCTATTTATTGTTATGTTACAAATCAAATCTTTTATTATTTCACTGCAAAAAAAGTATTGGAATAAAAACTTCTGGATACCTGCATCAAAAGTCTTTGTTTTAAAAATAAAGCTGTTAGAATAAATTCATGGTAGAATCAAAAAGGTAAAGTCATGCAATCATATGTTTACATTTTTTTTAAATTATTAATTTGATAACATCTCATTAATAATGTATATTACAGAAAATTCAGAGCTGAGTATGCTTATTTGAAATGATTTTACCTTCTTCATTTTACCATGGCTATCGCAAAATGACACATTAAAACAAACTTCCATGTGACTTACATGACAGAAGAATGTAGGTAGACGCATAAGAGCTTGGGAACATTGATATGTCACAAATTTTAAATTTTTTTTGTCAAAAATAAATGGATTTTTATATGTTTTCCTTTACGACGCAGATCATAGGTTGTTCTGATATGTATTATTCAACAATTTTAAATAATTGCAACAATGTTTCATCCAACTTTTTCAATTCTAAAATCGGTTTGACAGTTCATTGTCCCAGCAGCTTTGTCTATGCGACTACCTGTATTTTCTCTACCATGCATGACTTACAAGGCTAACAGTACGTTTACATATAAAATGGTTATCCCACTGTATTTGGATTAAAATTGTCATATCCATTAGTTATACTCCAAATAAAACCTCTTAAAGTAGGTTAACCCTACAAAAAGTTCTAACATAAGCATGACATGATTTTTTTGTTTTTATATCCTTCTTCAACTTTTATACCCTCTAAAAGAATAAAACTGCCAAAATATTTGGTCGTAAAAATTTAAATTTCTTGACGATTTATTGACATTAAACAAAAAATCGAAACCTGCGTCGCAGTGTCCGAAAAATGGCTCGTGAGCTGAACATATCACAATATTCCATTCGGCAAATATTGAAAAATGACCTCGGGGTAAAGCCATTGAAATTCCAAAAAGTGCAAGAACTTACACCGCAACAGAAAGAAATTAGCCCCAAAAGAGCTAAGGGTGTAAGTACATAAGAGGCTTGAAGTCATGGCTAGGCATATTTTGTGACATTTTTTAAAGGGATTACAGACCCGCACAAAATCCTGCCGTCGTTTTCCATTATAATTTGACATTAATATGCCTAGCTATGACTTCAAGCTTTTTATGTACTTGCACCTTAAAGAGTTGCTTCGCTTGGCCGAAAGTGGTGAACTGGCGAATTTGGTTTTCTCCGCTCCGATGAAAAAACATTGGTTTTACAGCAGTTTGTGAACAAACAAAATGATCGCATTTACTTGCCAAAGAGATCAGCTGAAAAGGTGCAAAAATGCTATATCCGACATTTTTGCTTTCATTCAATAAAATTTAAAAAAATGTAAAAATTATGGCGTTTGACTTTGTTGCAGTTTTTTTATCTCACCCTGTATATTCTTGATCAGCATAAAATTCTAAGTCGATTTTATGATGTCCGGCCGTCTGTCTGCCCATTTATCTGTCTGTCTGTTGAAATCACTATACAGTCCACATTAGTTGACGTAGAGCTTCACAATTTGGCAGAACAATTTGTATTGTGTTTGGTATGATTGGTATTGAAAATGAAATATATCGATCCACGTTTTGGTATAGCCCCTATATAACGGTTCGTTCCGGTATTCGGTATTTTAATGATTTTTGCCAATTTTAACGGATTTGTCTAAAAATTGGTATTTGTTTGTCATAATGGGTTCTAGCTCCGTTGGTGATACGTTGTATGTATAGGTGAACGTTTTTGTACAGCGATACCTTCCAATATTCGGTATGTTGATGATTTTTTTCAGTTCATAATGGGTTCTAACTCCGGTGGCACAATATTGAATATTTAGGTCAGCGTTTTGCTATAGCACCCACCGATATTCGGTATTTTGATAATCCTAGTCACATTTACCCACAAACTTGCTTCAAATTTGGTAGATGAAAATCCTTGAAATATAAATTTGTCTAAAAAGGTTGCCGTTTTTCGTATTGCCTCCATTTAACGGCCTGACCCACGTTATGGTTTTTTGAAAAGTTTACCAGCATTATCCAAACTGTCTTAGTAGTATTTGTAATTAAAGTGGAGCACGATTGAATTCAGATACATTTATACAAAATTTTTTTATTTTTCCAATGGTGGAGAATGTTAAAAGTTCGGCCCGGCCCAACTTAATGTTTTTTACTTGTTGAAGATATTTTAAATATTTTTTACATATCGTAGTTCACAAGGGCTGATGTATCTGCCTGTATTCTTCTAGTAGAACTTTTTCGATCACAGTGAGCCCTAAAAATATTTTTTTCTTTTGGTGTCCCTTTTCATGCTTTGCGGTCCCTATTTTTGCTTTGAATAAGAAAGGGGAATAATTTCTAATTATTTTAAATTTAGATGCAACCTAAATGAATATTTTCCAACAAAAATGTATAATTTTGGGATAAAACAATATTCCCCCTCTATCTTGTTACCCCAATCATACGAAATGTCACCTTCCACTTTCATTGCATATCCAAATTATTCCAAAAAAAACTCTCGCTTTTTGGACACAATTGGTATTATAATTGATTTTGATGTTATTATATTTTCCCCTAATTCTTTATACATCCATTTTATTTTTGCTTCTAATTATACCCTTTTCTTTATCCAATTATACTTTTTATACTTTAACAAAATTATAATTTTTTAATCAAAATTTACCCCCAGAGTTGTAAGCATGACCACTCATTTCTCAGTTACTGTGTGTCTCAACTAACATGGTTGTATACAATCATTCGACACATTCACATCTAGATGGCGCCAACACTGACAGCTGATTTTGACAACTGTGAAACGTCAAAAATCAGTACTGGCAACTGACGTAAAATGGACTTCCTCTTTTTCGATACGTTCGCGTTCGTGTAAAATTGTTAAAAATTTTCACAAAATAAATCTTAGGTAATCTTTGTGAAAATTCAGTGAAATTTCAATGAAATGATGTGAATATTGTTTGGCATAATGCTGGCTATGATGTGAATATGAAATTTTCTACAATTTAACAATTGAAATGTGAAGAAATTGCAATTTAATAGAGGGCTGTCGGTTTTGACAAGAGTTGAGAATAATGGACAGTCGTAAAGAGTAAATAAATGCTGTAAATGCCGGATGGAGGCGGTGATGTTTGATGAGAAGTCAAAAACAAAATCTAAAAGAATAGAAGTGTGAAAATCTGCGATTGTTCCAAGGATAAAATTGATTGTTTACGCGGGTTTTATACATGTTTACCGGGTATCGAGTGGTCATTGCCGTTGTTGTTGTTTTCGTACATGCCGTTCTGCTCGCATTTTGACAGTTCATTGATACTACATTGGAAGCCAGCAATTAGGGCCAGCCAATTTACATTGCCAATATGAAAGTGGAATTTAATATTGCAATTTGTTTACATTTCCTTTGGACTTTCTTTTCATTGAAATTTTGTTGTCGTTCTTTTTCAATTTTTATATGTGCCTGAGTGTGTGTTCTAATGTCATGTTTTTCTTTTCTCTTTACCCTTTTAGCCATGGTGCGTATGAACGTATTGGCCGATGCCTTGAAATGCATTAACAACGCTGAAAAGCGTGGCAAACGTCAGGTCCTCCTCCGTCCCTGCTCCAAGGTCATCATCAAGTTCTTGACTGTCATGATGAAACATGGCTACATTGGTGAATTCGAAATTGTCGATGATCACCGATCTGGCAAGATTGTTGTCAATCTTACCGGTCGCTTGAACAAGTGCGGCGTCATCTCTCCCCGTTTCGATGTTCCCATCAATGACATTGAAAAGTGGACCAACAACTTGTTGCCATCTCGTCAGTTCGGTTATGTTGTTTTGACCACCTCTGGCGGTATTATGGATCACGAAGAAGCCAGAAGAAAACATTTGGGTGGTAAAATTTTGGGTTTCTTCTTCTAAATGCAGACAAAATGTAACAACAACAAAAATCTACGCTTAAATTCTGTTGACCACAAAAGAAGGAAAGCGGCATCGTTGCCACCAAAACCAAAACACAACGTCAACATGTGTTTAATTTTCTGTAGATGTTTGTTTTTTAATTATTTTTAAAAAACAAACGTTTTTTTTATAAATTATAAAAAAAGATAATAGTGATTTTTGCTTAATTTTAAGCAGAAGAAGGAGGAAAATAAAAAACAAAACATAAAAACATAAAACTTAAAACCTACTTTTTATTTGGATTGCAAAGAAGGAATGGCGAAACATCTCCGAAGAATTATAAGAGGTTGAGAAGATCTCTAAAATGGGTAAAATTTTAAATTTAATGTTTTTAAGTAAAGCCTGTATAACATTGATTTTAGTTTTTACAGATATCCAAGTTGATAGAGACGTTTTTCAAAGCCAATCAATTTGAACCAGGATTGAAATAAAACATACAAGGGATTTTCAAGTCTTGGGGGTTCATTTATAAGCTACAATGTAGACACTCAAAACATGAAAACCGTCTGTGATAAAAATGTAAATGTACTTTTTGAATATGGCATTCGTCAACATTTATCGAATTTGTGGACCGTGGTTTAAATAGTTTAAACAAGGTAATTGAGCAATTATAGTGTGGAGTAAAAAATGGCGGCTGTATTTTTGTTGGGACTCGTAGGGCATGTCCTTGCATTATAACTTGTGTAAAAAATCTCCATTTAACTACGAATATTTTTGTTAGTAAAAGTCTCTCGCGAAATCACATGAACACGATAAAGGGAGCTCCAGGCCTTTTTTTATACCCTCAGCCATATTGCTAGAGAGGGTATAGATATATCATTTGATACACCCAAAAATTGCCTCATCGAAATAACGGTTTTAGACTCTAGGACCATATCCTTTCATGACATATGAAGTCAATCTAGCGATGTCCGTCTGTCTGGCTGGTGCGCACGATAACTCTCGAATATTATTATCAAACATAGATCCCGTTCAAAGTTGGACAATATCGGTTCACTCCTTCTGGTACCTCCCGCCAAAAACGTCTACTTTTTCAAAGAAAATAATTTACTGCACAAAAAAAAAAATAAAGGATAATCCGATTTGGCTCCAACTTTGCAAATCCTAATATATGCATCAGTGTTAGGTCAGGTGCGAAATGGACAATATCGGTTCATTCATCAAGTACCTCCCCCACAAAGGGTCAAAATTTTGAATATTTATAAAATTAAAAAAAAAAATTAAATTATGTGATGTAATAGTCCAATTGTCTTCAAATTACACACATCACAATATTTTTTTTAGTTTCTGGTGTAAAGATGAAATATATCAGTCTACTCCTTCTGGTACCACCCACCACAAGGGGTCAAAATTTTGAATATTCATGAAGCTCATAAAACACGATAGTAATATCCGATTCCATTCAGACATGGAGCATCTTAATATTTCCATCAACACAAGATCTGTTATAAAGATGGTAGGGATCGGACCATTTTTTCTGGTACCTGCCCCACAAAGGGGGATTTTGAAAAACGACACGCTCAAAGAAAACGAATTAAGCATTCAACTTTTTTTACAATTTCTCACATCCAAATATTTTTGCTAACGCAGGATCTGTTTTTAAGATGATATATATCTGGGGGCCCCTTCTGGTGCCTTACCCACAAAGGTTCATAATTTCCAATACTTTTATCTCTCATAACTTGCGATTGTTTACAACTTGCTATATATGAATATCTCTCTTAACCCGAAATCAGTATATAAAATTTATCGAAATTTATGATTTCGCATAAAATTGGATATGAATGTTCGATTTCCGTCAAATGTTGCACGTACAAATATTTTTATTTATATTAGATGTAGTATGTAGTAGATGTTATCCCACGCATTTTTCCACATTTTCCAAAAAATTGCACATATCTCATATAAAGTATAGGAAGTAGTCGACATAGTCCAAATCTGGCACGATGTAATAGTTACATCAGTCTTTGGTCAGATACGAATTGGTCAATATTGGCTAATTGCATCGGAACCTCCCCCATAAAGGGTCAACTGTTTGAATAATCATTACTCAAGGCAAAACCGACTGATACTATTTTACTTGTTTAAAATAAGTTTTAGTTGGGTTTTTGGGATGTGTCCACAGGTGTATGTTGTGTACTTCCCGACTGAAAGCCGGTCACTCACAAAAACTTCAAAATGAAAAATAGGTTAAGCCTCGTAGCCGGTTTCGGATTTGTCTTGCTTCGTCTTACAAACACTGGAAATATACCAGGCGCTAACGAAACTTTAGGGATCCATGACTCGAGAAGTACATGTGGATTTCTCCAAGAAAAAAATTCGACTTGTATATATCAATTTTACCCTTGTTGTCCTAAAATCCAAAGAGAAGAAGGCGTGTATCATAACTATTGGTTTCGCCAGTGAAATCTCAGAAAACAGAGATTTAAAGCTACATAGGTGTGCTAAAAAGTTCATAATAATCCGCCAGGTAACCCTATAGCTTAAAGGATTTAACCATATTCTTCTACCGATTTTACTCTGTGAACATTTTTAGACCCTCCACCAACTTTGTCATTCCGTTTGTAACTCCTCGAAATACTCATGTCAGACCCAACAAAGTATATATATTCTTGATCAGCGCAAAATTATTGGTCGATTTAGTGACGTCCGTCTGTCGTGTTTATAATCACGCTATCTTTCGAACGAATTGAGATAAAAGGCTAACATTTTGCACACATGTTTATTTTGTCATTAAGTTCGTGAATGGGCCATGTAGGTCCATGTTTTCATATAGCCCCCATATAACGGTACCTCCCGATATTCGGTATTTTGATGATTTTAACGACATTGTTCACCGGAATTGTTTCAAATTTGGTATTTGAAGTTCGAAATAGATACTACAGCCTATGACAAAAAAAGATTGTCTGTGCAGGTCTACGTCTTCGTATAGCCCCCATAAAACGGTACCTCCCCATATTCGGTATTTTGACGATTTTAGCTACATTATTCACCGTTTATTTCAAGTTTCGAATTTGAATATGGTAATGGCTTATGACAAACACTGCCTATGTAGGTCAACGTCGTATAGGCCCCTATTTTAACAGAATTTTTAACGGATTTCATTTTTTTGAAAATTTCCAAATTCGTTCCAAATGGTGGAGGGCATTCACAGTTCGGCCCGGCCGAACTTACTTCTAACTTATTTAACTTTAACATAATAAGGCAATTGGAAAAAGTAGTAAATTCAAATGTGGGTTTGTATTTAACCATTATATTATTATCCCTAAAGTATGCTATATTTCGGGCATAATACATTGTATTGTGTAGGATTGCCATTGTTTACGACGATATCAATTCTGCTTAGCAGTGAATCAAGTATTGGTACCCCTCCATTAATTGGTAATGTAAAAATACAAGGCTAACGAACTTGTTTTTCTTTTAACCAACAATTGCACAGTGTTTTAGGAACAAATCATAAAGTTGTCAGTTCAATAGTTGATAAAAGTACAAGCATGACTTCCTTTTTTAACTGTCAAAAATTACTTGGTAATGGAAGTCCTTGCTGTTCATTTAATTACAAGTTTTTGTGGCTCTATCGCCAGTAAGGAATAAGGACTGAATAAAATCTATCGACTTACATAACAAATTGGTGCTAATTATTTTTTTACTTACACATATGGGAGTTGCATATAAATTGATAAGGCTTAATCAATTGTATTTGTTTGTATCCTATGCTTTTAAATGCTATTTTGGTAGAAACCAAAATCTGTTTATTGCACCACCAATTAGTTGCTGATATTACCTCACTTATTTGTAATAGAAACAAAATACTATTTACAATTTAATCATCATAGACTATACACATAGCTATACATAATGTGAAACAAATACTCTCTAAATTTAATGTCAAAATTCCGGTCTAAGAAATTGCCCTCCATTCGTTAAAATCAATTAAATAACAAATACATACTAGCCAGGTTGTCTAGACACGCAATTTTCCAATCGCAGAGAAGAATGGCCTTCTTAAAATCTATTACTTCTTTTAAATGGTTTGCAAATACAATGAGTTCATAGCTTAATTAATGTTTAACTTTGTTTGGGAACTTTGTTTGTTATGCTGATTTCTGGACGCCAAATGTTGCCTCTTTTATTTATTCACATTGTTTATTGGGTTTTTTATTTAACCAATTAAGTATGAACTTGGTAAAATGTTTTCGTTTAAGTAGACAAATTCAATTGGAACAAGTTTTATAGTTAATCTACTTTGTTGTTTAATAAGAGATATTTTTGTGCTTTTATTCTTGATGAGTGTGTACAAAGGCAGAATTAAACTAAGGTTTTTAGAATGAATATGTGGAAAATACGGAGTAAAATTTTCACAATTTAGTTCAATATTTTGATACGAATTAAGTTGTTAAAAGTCGATGTAAATGAGTCAAGAACTGAGGATTCTTATATCCGTTGAATTTTTTTGTGACTTGTGTACTTTACAGCTCTGTTCCAGAATCTGCAAGAATCTACTACTTTAGCAATTTTGTATACCCTCCACCATACAATGGAGGGTATAGTGATGCCATTCCGTTTTCAGCACCTCGAACCATTAATGGGGACCCCGAAAAGTATATACAAGTTGGCGCAAAAGTAATCCTCCTATCGGAAAATGCTATAAATTTTACGATTGGTCCCTAATGTCTTAATTACGGCCCAAAAAACTACAGAATTTTACTTTTGCATCACCTTTTTCATGCATACATATGTACTTGACAGACATTTCGATGTTTATGGCTTTTAGTTCGTCTTTTCGTTTGTGACTTTCCAAATAATAATTTTAGCCCTATTAAAGTTTATATATTCTTGATCAGCGTAAAATTTTAAGACGATTTAGCCCTGTCCGTCCGCCCAAACGAATAAAGATAGGAAGCTAACATTTTGTACACATCAGTCTTTTGTCTGCAGGTTCACGATATCATATAGCCTCCATATAATGGTACCCTCGATATTCGGTATTTTGATGATTGTAGCCAAATTTTTCAATGCAATTGTCTGAAAATCCACACAAGAAGCTCTTTCTGAGTACTTTACCCCCTGAAAGGGTATTGTCTTTATAAGTCCACTATATCATATAGCCCCCATATAACGGTACCCC